CAGTAGAAGTTGACCTGTTTGATGCAAGACAACATTTCAAGAGAAGAACCTCATACCAACTGTGACACATGGTGGTGGTGTTGGTGTTCTTAGCTGCTTCAGAACCTGGGCAGCTTGCAGCCATTGAGTCAGCTATGAAGTCTGCATCATGTCAAAGTGAGGCCATCCTCTAAAAGTTAGACCTGAAATTGACCTTTCAACACAACAATGGCCCAAAGTACACTAGCAAATCCACTGAGGAATAGTTCAAAAAAGAAAAAAAATGGAGGTATATGGACTGGCCTAGCCAAATCTCTGATTCAAACCCAGCTGAAACATAGTGGAGGATTTAAAACAGCCAGTTCATGCAAGGAAACCCACACATTTCTTGTAACTGAAGGATTTTCGAATGGAGGAGTGGTGAAAAGTAATTTTACTGAGTTGATGGCAGAGGCTGGTGGGCGGCTATGCAAAACGCACACAAGAAGAAATTTCTGTTAAAGGGGGTTTTCTTTCGAAAACTCCAATTTTCTAATCCTCATCGAGTTCACCAATGCCCTTCACTGCACTTGTGTGGCTTCAGAAGCCTTATTGAGGTCTCCAGTTCTCTTTACTGCACCTGCGCAGGAGGACACTTTTCCTACTCTGGTGGCCATATTGAGTGGGGCAACTCAGATTAATAACGTGCTGGATTAGTCTAATTTTAGGTGATTATAATACTTTATTGCTGTCTGGTACGTATATAGGAAAATACCACGGGTGGCGCACACACACTAGAGACAACTCATCCAAACCTCTTACTGGCCAGTCAACCGGGTGTGACATCATTGGTGATCTCCAGAAATGGGAGTTTTCAACAGAGCAAGGGCAATACCAGCTTCTGAGGCCAAGGGTGTACTTGCTTATTTCCATTTAGACAATTACAGTTTTTGATACTTTTGTTTAATATATGATCGAAAACCCAAATTTTCTTGTGTTTTTATTTAAGTGTATCACATTTATCTGTAGGCACTGTTAGAATAAAAATGTCATGGTTGCCTCTTCAAATATTCTGAAAAAAATCAACAATTCCCATTGGGTGTACTTACTTTTTCACAAGACTGTACACGCACAGTTGAAAGTACCAGCTAATTAGCCCAGTTGCTTTTTAAAAGTCCAGAAACCGAGTGAGAAGCATGTTTAAAACTTGACAACGAGGCTTGATGCAGAAACCAGTGTTGCTTGGGTTTTTGCAGCAGGTGGCAGGTTGCTTTAAGAGACCATAGTTGGTAGACAAAGCTATTAGGTGTACTGGAAGTTTGGCGAGCCTATTAATGCCTTGTGCAAATAAAAATCATCTTTAGGCAGTCAGATCTTTTTCTAACATCTGGTTGCTATATGTGTGGCCAACATAAAGGCGTTCTCTGGTTATATGCACCACTTAATTCTTATAAAAAGGCAGGAGAAGGCTGATGTTAATATTAAACCTAACTCCAAGAGAAAGTTATTTATTGTAGCTCTGGTGGGGACGGCACCACCCATTGATTTCATTAGTTAAAAGTGTGGCTGGTCTAAAGTGTGGAAGGTCATGAAAGGAGAACTATGAGGTGAGTGCTTTTCACTCACCTCATAGTTCTAGCTGACTTGTGACAATGAGACTGTCACAGGTCGGCTCAGTAGATCGGGAGGTGAGCGAACATATACCGGCGTTCGCTCACCTCTCGATCCTGTCACTGCTCTCTGCCGTGACAGGGGAGGGGCTGGATTCCCCCCTCCCCGCTCCGATCCACCAGCGCTGACTGGAGGATCGGACGGGGCAGGTACAGCTGGTTCTGCCTCTAGATAGGCAGAGCCAGCTGTCACTCACGCAGCTGGGCCGAACTCAACATCGATGTCAGGATCCGCTCCGGCTGCGGCGTCTCAGTATACTGCGAGCTGCAGCTCACGGTATACTGAGCTTAGGGTAACGGGAGGACGCTAGTTTGTGTCCTCCCGTTACCCTAAGGAGAACTATGGGGAAAAGCCCTGACCCCATAGTTCTCCTTTAAGGACCCTTCCGACCGTCAGCAAGACAACCCGCTCCTTGGATTGTGTATTCTGCATGTGAGGCTACAAATATGGACCTTGTTCAATTGCTTGACCTGTGGCACACTCACATGTGTCTTGCTGGGTGTGCCACTGCAATAGAGTTAAAGGTCCATCAAGCAGGACAACCCAACCAATATCCTGCATCTAATGTAATGGACAGAATCATATCTTTCGGTTTCCCTATGATTACCATGATTAAATGATATTTGTGACTTTCACTGTAGGGACCAGGTTTGGTTGGAATAATATTCAGCTTGTTTGATACAGCTTGTACAGCTTAGGTCGACTGCTGGCCTCAAGTATGTGATGATGGAAAATATTCCGCCCACTGGAATCCTTAATTGGTAAAACAAAGCTTTCATTTCCCTGGACAGCATTAAAATCATTATTATTTGTTCATAGGGAGTTTACAAATGACACTGCTTCTCTTTCATGCAGACTTTCCTTTTTGGCTCGAGAAGGAGGGAAACTCCTGCGATAACAATTTCACGTAGTTCGTGCTTTGGCTTAATAGTCTTTTTGATAAGTCATAAATCAGTAAGGCAGGGCCGAGTTAATTAGATATGTTTTGCGTTGGCTACAGTAGGTGTTTTCCATGGTACAGGCTGACTGTATTGTACTCTAAAACAACCTTTTTCAACCTTTTTTTTTTTTTTAGCCAGTGCACCCTTTAAAGGTATGCAAAATCTTGAGGCACCCCAGGCTAAAGTATCAAAGATTTTAAGGGGGAGCCTAAACAAAAACACACAAGAAGTGGGTTTCCCCTCTCCCATTGAAGTGCTCCCTTCATATCAAGATCCCCCCCTTTACATCAGAAGCCCCATCTTTCACAACATTTGGAGGCACCCCCTGAAGAAGGGTGCCACGGCACCCTGGTTGAGAAAGTCTACTCTAAAACAATACATCTGTCTCTCCGTTATCTATCTATCTAATCTATCTATCTATCTATCTATCTATCTATATCTCATAGATTTTAAGGGGGAGCATAAAAACAAACAAGAAGTGGGTTTTCCCCTTCACATCAAAGTGCTACCTTCAAATCAAGATCCCCCCCTTCAAATCAGAGTTCCCACATCAGAGTTACCCCTTTCACACCAGAAGCCCCCTTTCAAATCAAAGTTCCCACTTTCACAGAATGTAGGAAGAGGAATCACCAGCACTCAGTAGAATAATCCAACATGTCCATTTATTGGACATAGAAGTCACAAAATCACAAGAGCCAACGTTTCGAGACCACGCAGGGTCTCTTCATCAGGGCATAAAAAGTGACACAGAATACTTTTTCTTTAGGAACCCCCTTCACATCACAGACCCACTACCACAAACTTTTGAGGCACCCCCGAGAAAGCCAGAAGGCACACCAGGGTACCACCACATCCTGGTTGAGAAAGGCTGCTCACAAGAAGTGGGTTTCCCCCTTCTCATCGAAGAGCTCCCTTCAAATCAAGATCCCCTTTCACATCAGATGCTCCCTTTCAAATCAGGGTTCCCACTTTCACATCAGATTTTTTTTTTCAAGAGCCCCCTTCACATCAGTCTTCATTCCCCCTTCACATCACAGACCCACTACCCCAAAATTTTGAGGCACCCGTGAAGAAGCCAGAAGGCACACTACATACTGGTTGAGAAAGGCTGCTCTAAAACATCTATCTATCTATCTATCTATCTATCTATCTATCTATCTATCTATCTATCTATCTATCTATCTATCTATCTATCTATCTATCTATCTATCTATCTCCCATTCATTAGAGCTTAGAATGCTGTGTACAAATGAAAGAGAGAGAACTTTAATAAATTAATGAGTTAGGTCACTCAAATTGTCCATTTTGCATTACTGGCTACTGAAGCACAAGCAAGAAAACAGGATTCCTACCTCCTGAACTCTTGAAGTTCTTAAAATCCTGCCATTTATTTGTATAGCGCATTATTAACCCTGATGAAGGGGGCTCTTTTAGTCCCAGAAATACATAGGATGCAATATCTTGTGTCATCTCTGTCATGAAATAAGAAATATTTTTTTTTGGCCTTCATAATCATTGGTGGAACACACCTATTACTCTTCAAAATTGAAAAAAAATCCTGGCAAGGATACTAACCATTACCGACTTTATGTAAAATGACAACAAAAAAAAGGTTTTGACTCAAGATACAATTGAAAGTGGGGACCAATATATGTGATGTGTGCTCAATGATAATGTATCAGGTTTTGGTTCATATATTCTTTATTATGCTCAGGACTAGAACATATAATTTTACAGATACACTTCTTAAAGGTAAATCAGGTGTATTGGAAATATTTCATATGGATATTTTGTATTCCTGTTTCCATCCAGGAGGTGAAGTTTCAGGCTTCTTGTCACATGCACGTACAGGGAGTCCTAATGTGGTTAAAATGATACGAGAGAGAGAGAGAGAGAGAGAGAAGACAGGCTCTATATAACACCAACGATGCATCTCTTTACAAAATGAAGGGAGACAATACAGTTACAATACAAATTCAATACAGAAGGGTTAGGAGGGCCCTGCTTACAAGAGCTTAATATCTATTTATCTCTATATAATATATACTGTGTGTATATGTATATGTATATAT